CCGACCTCCAGAGAGCGGGGAACATCTCCGTGTTCTGCCTGCACAGCGCCTAGCACGGCTCTGGCCCACTATTTATTTTTATTTAAGCAATTTTGTAGTGGTTCACTGTTTTTAAAGAGTAAGTTAAAGACAGCAGGTGCACTCCAGAGGGCTGTGTTGCCATTCAGAGTGACCTGGACAGGCTGGAGAGCTGGGCAGAGAAGAACCTCATGAGGTTCAACAAGGGCAAGTGTGGGGTCCTGCACCTGGGGAGGAAGAACCCCAGGCACCAACAGAGGTTAGGGGTGGACCTGCTGGAAAGCACTGCTGAGGAGAAGGATCTGGGGGTCCTGGTGGAGAGTAAACTCTCCATGAGCCAGCAATGGGCCCTTGTGGCCAAGAGGCCAATGGGATCCTGGGCTGCGTAGGGAAGAGTGTGGCCAGGAGGTGGAGGGAGGTCATTCTCCCCCTCTGCTCTGCACTGGGGAGGCCACAACTGGAATCCTGCCTCCAGTGCTGGGCTCCCCAGTTCAAGAGAGACAGGGAACTGCTGGAGAGAGTCCAGCGTAGGGCAACAGAGAGGATGGAGGGGTTGGAGCATCTCCCTGATGAGGAAAGGCTGAGAGAGCTGGGGCTCTTCAGCCTGGAGAAGAGAAGGCTGAGGGGAGACCTTCTTCATGCTGACAAGTCTCTAAAGGGGGGGTTGCAGGAGGATGGAGCTGGACTCTTTCCAGTGGTTCCCAGGGACAGGACGAGGGGCAACGGGCACAAGCTGGACCATGGGAAGTTCCACTGCAATGGGAGGAAGAACTTGTTTGGGGTGAGGGTGGCAGAGCCCTGGCAGAGGCTGCCCAGGGAGGGTGTGGAGTCCCCTTCTCTGGAGATCTTCAAGCCCCGCCTGGATGCTCCTGAGTGATGTGCTCTGGGCAGCCCTGCTTTGGCCGGGGGGTTGGACTGGAGGGTCTCTAGAGGTCCCTTCCAACTCTGACAATTCCGTGATCCCATTTCAGAAGGTCATGCAGGAGAAACTAACATGGGGGAGGACAAGGGGCTTACTTGAGCCAAATATCCTTCCTTCAGCGGTGGATATTTGAGGCTACATTTGCCATCCAGGGTGCAATCGTGCGCACACAGAGCTGGAGGGGGGGAGTCCTTCCTGACAACTGCACTGATTAGCTGGTGCCCCAAAGAATGACGTTTGATTACCTTTATCTTCGGCTGCAGAACTGCAAATGTCACTAATGGTCATAAAATCACCCAGTCTTTTTCAAAATACAACCGAAGTAAATTAATCTATTGAGCACGGTTTATTCAATACTTCTTACTCTGGCAAAACTCCCAAAAAATCATTTGCTTGCTGCATGTCTCCACCATATGGTGTCATTCAATGCAGACTTTCTTTCCTGCACTGAAATCCAAAATTTAACGGAGTCGAGTCACCTACAGAGTTTTTTCCAGCTCAAACCCAATAATACAGTTTTCTGTCAAAGAGGTCGTGCAGCACTTTCTGGCTTGGTACATTGACCAATATCAGCATGAGTCCTCCTTTCATAATTAAAATCAAACTCCTCGGGTTTTAGCAAGTTTGAAGGAAGTGTTATGCCCTGTGCAGAGAAGATACGACGCCCAGCACTGGACAATGCCAGCAGTCTTTGTCTGCTCTCAGAACTCAAAAGTTTTGGCCAGTTGCTGGTATATTGTCCTATCTATAGGGACCTTCTCATACCAATGTCTCAGCAATCAGTAAAATAAACCAAAACCATGACATGACATGAACTGTGCTGGGAAACTAAAAGAGCAAGACACTTTTAAAGCTCTTGAAAGCTTGTTTGTTTTGGTTTGGTTTTTTTAACAGGGACATTTCAGACAGTGAGGGACTAAAGCAAACTTCTGGGTATGAGTCCACCTACAGCAGGCAACAGATAGATGCTGGTTTGGCTACAAACATGACCTCCAAACCAGGAGGAAGATGCCTTACTACACATTTAGCTATGCTGGTATTTCATCCTCCCCACCGGATCTGCCTAGCGTCAGCTACACAGTCCATGACTCAGTTTCCTCAACTGTCAAGTGGGGGCCATGCTCTGACATCCCCAGTTTGGACACAACGATGTCATCTTCTATCAACGGTTTTAGAAAAAAATCTCTGGCCATCCTCCGGCCCCTGCCATCTGTCAATAACATACCACCCCCCTTGCTAAAGATTGTTATTGTAGTGATGAGGAAGCCACAAGCTCTGCTTCACACAGCATTTCCCAAACTTTGGAAAGCTGTGTCTCCTTTCATGTCGCAGCCTCCCCTCGCCCTCGCTGGGCGCCCACCGCAGATGCTGCTTAACGGCGCCAAAGTCTTCAGCGCTGCGCATCCCTCGTGCTACACAGTTTTATGGCTCATCCTTTCCCTCCGTGCTCCACCTCTGACCTTCCACCACCCCTGCCCCACAGCTGGGAGAGACGCTGGTGTGCTCTGCAGGAGGAGACACTTCCCCTCTGTACTTACTCACTGGGATGAACACCAAAATAATTTAAATATCAGCATTAACCCTCTTATCTCTGGAGCTGGAGCAAGTCATCATTGAAGGGAGCTTAAGCACTTCCCAACGCAATCACGACACGCCAGGAACACGCTCACGGGCAGCTACCACAGCTCAGATGACAAGCAGTAAATCATTACATCAAGCTGTCTGGATCATTTTTGACTGCTGACCCACACCCCCAGGCTGCCATAGCTGCCTGGGATGTATTTGCTGGTATTTTCAGAGAGTTTCTACCACTAAAGATTATTCTGCTTTAGCAAAAGTTGAGAATCTAGAGAGACAGTAGAGAGCTCCGCAGTCCTCTGCCCAGCCCAGCCAGTCCACCAGGCACCCCGAAGCGCCACCCACCCTGCCTGAGAGGCTGCAATTCAAAAAAACAACTCCCAGAAATGGAAAATAGACAAAGAGGCAGTAAAATGTTGTATCAAATAACACGAACACTGGAAAACACCCAGTCCACCCTCTCCACACACAAAGCGCTCGGATAACAGCGGCCAGATCCCAGACTACACCAGCTTATCGGGACATCACAAGGCAGAAGAGGAGATTTGGCCAGCAGCAGCTGCAGGCCAAATGTGTCCCACAAAGCACTGCACTGCTGGAGGCAGCTGCCCTCATCTTTACAGCAGATGTCCCTCCTGTGATGGCTTTGGTGTCTGGTGTGACATGCTCCATCATCAAGTGATCTAAAATAGAGCAGATCCCCACAGACCTTATCTCAATCTCTCTCCCTGTGGCCCAGCAGGTGGGGACACAGCCAGGATTAATCCAGGGAAGATGAGGAGCTGCCTTTGCTGCTCTCGCTTACGCCTCCTTTCCATCCAAGGGGACACATTCATGGTGTCCCCTTGCATGAATCCACAGAATCACAGAATCCAGCTTATGTTCAGAGGACTCCCGGACAAAACACAGCTTTGCCCTTGGAGAAGCTCTTTCCCCATTGCTATTTTCTTCTGCCTGTGCTCTCTGCACATGCTGCATCTTCAGCAGCAGCTCCCCCACAGCTCTCTCTTTACCACCCCTCACCCAGCAGCCCCAACCCTTCCTTCCAGTTCTCACTGGACTCTGCCAGCATCCCACCGCAACTACTCTGGAACCTAAACCCAGACTGTTTCCACCACCCCAATCCATCACTCAACCTTATCCCAACCTCAATTCAGAGTACATTACACCCTCACCACCCCACCAGTCTTCCAGGATTGCCCTCCACCCTAACCAGATCCTTCACTGCACTCAAGACCCCAGTTCCTCCCTTTGGTCCACATTGCTCCCTCTCAAACAAGACATTTCTCCCCTTGAACACTTCTTTCCTTCCTGGGTCCTCTCTTTCTCAAATCAGTATCAAAACTCCACTTCCAGCCCTTCCTGCACTGTATTCTTAACTATTCTGTTCAACCCAGACTGTCGCTCATCTTCTTAGTCTCTAGCAGAACACCCCCAGAGCACATAACGTCCCAGCAAACTGTCCCAGCCAGCCAATGTTGACTGGGTTTTCCCAGTGACTCACCAGACTGTCCATCCCACCCAGCTGGCAGGTTTCTTTCGGTCCCCGAGCCCTGTGCCTCAATCCTGTCCATCCCTGAACACCCAACCTCTTCAATCCAGTCTTTCTCTGCCATGACTGAACACCCTTTCTAAGGCTGTTCCTCAACAACTGGCTCTTCTACCTCAGCAAGCTCTCCTATACCTCCCTCAACTCCTGTAGCCAGGATCCAAGCACCTTGGTGGGATTGTCCAGTGTCCCTTCACAGTCACAGATGCTCCCAGACTCTCCACAATTAATCCCTGAACACTGTCCTCCATCTTCACCAGTCTCCTCCATTGCTCCTTCCCTCCTCTGGCCAAGTGGGCCACTGCCATCCTGCTCCCCAGCCCTCCCAAGCACCCAACCCTGCAACGTGTCTCCCACACCGTGACAGAATCAACCCCAGGCAGGCTGACCCCATCCCAACAAAGTCCCACCCCTCCCCTAATAACATCCACAAACCTCCCAGCATCTGCCAGGACCTGACTCGACCCCCTTCTCCAGTCCACCATAGCCTCCAGCTCCTACCAGGATCTCCTGTAGCTGGAGGCCCCAAATTTACACCGTCCCCAGCCCTAGAGGCATCCCTTGGGCTGCGTGCCCCTGGCCCCCACGGCCCCAGGCCCCCATGCCTGACCGGATGCCCCTGCCCTGCCAAGCCTGCGATGCCCCAGGCCCTGACGCTCCCCTTGAGTGAGCACCCGGTGATCCCAGGCCTGCCAGACCCCCCGGGTGGGCTTCGCCAGCCTTCCCGGTCCCAGCCCTACCAGAGCGCTTGGCGCGAACCCCGGCCGGGCAGGCCGGCCCCACGGCCCGGGGCCCGCCGTGCCCCCGGGAGGGTGTCTCTGGCCCCCATTACTCCACGCTCCCCCGCGGGGGGCGCCCCCGGCCTCAGCCCCGCCACGCTGGGCCTTGTACTGCCCGCCCGGGCCGGGCCCCGCCGTCCCCCGCCCCGCTCACCATCCTCTGCGCGGCTCCGGGGTTACCATGGGCAACTGCGTCACACACACGCCGCCGCTACGTACGGCGTCACCGCTTCCCGCCGTACGTACGGAACGTGCTGACGTCAGGCGGGAGGGGCGGAGCTCGGCACGGCTGCCCGAGCCTGGCTCCGCCCCCTCAGCCCCGGCGCGTGCGCACAAGGGGGCTGGGGAGGGGGGAGATGGGCGCGGCCGCTCGGGTCTCTGTGATTGGCTGAGGGCGGCCACGCGTCGGAGCCCGCGGGGGCAGG